AAATTATCAAAAAGTCCAGCACACTCTGAGAATTTTTCTAAAGTATATACACATTTTTCTACAGATTGCTCATTCCCATCTAATAAAAGACATGAGTCCTCTGCATACTAGCTTAGAAGTTATTCTGAATCATTTATTTTCGTACCATTTATCTCTGGGTTGTTTTTAAGTGCAGCGTTCAGAAGGTCTAAAGATAATATAAAGAGATAAGGAGATAAAGTTTCACCTTGTCTAAAACCCCGACCAGTATTAAAAAATTGAGAGCAGTGTCCATTGTTTATTATACAGCTCTGAGATTTTGATAATTTTCACGTGATTTATATAACTTAAGTTCTAAATCATTTTCGGTTTTTGTGTTCTTTTTTTTTTTTTTATAACTGGAATATGATATTGTTTTCCCTCTTATCATACGTTTTAAGAGTTCCCAAAACATGTGTGGGTTTACTGATAATTCTGTTTCTAGCTCATTTCCAGGCAAATAGTATTGATTTATAGTTTCCCTAATGCAATTTTTTACTTCAGCTACATAGACCATATCATGTATTAAGCTATTATTAAATTTCCAAGTGCCTTTACCTTTAATTTGATAGTAAAACTGTAAGGCCAGGTACACTAGAGAATGATCAGAACTATAACTTATATCCATGTCTACATTTTTACAAATGATTCAAGGTCAGAAGAAATCAAAAAGTAATCCAATCGGCTTTGCTTAAACCCAGGTCCACGCCATGTTAATCTTTTGTTATCCGGATTTAAAGCTCGCCATATATCAACAAGGTCCAGGTACTCTATTATATCTTAAATTTTATCATGTGCTTTTATATTATTTTGAAAATCCTTTTAACTAAACTGATTTTTATAATTCTTTTGGATAGACCTCAATGAATATATTACAAAATCTTTTAATTATAGCTTAGAAACTGGAACTTTTTCTGTTAGTCAGAAACAAGGAGTAATAACCTGCATCCCAAAAGAGGGCAAATCAAAATTTCAATTAAAAAACTGGAGACCAATCACTTTATTAAATGTTGATACAAAAATTGCATCAGCTGCTTTAGCAAATAGAATAAAACCTTTTATTGGGGATATAATTAGTGAAACACAGCAAGGTTTCATAAAGGGAAGGTATATTGGAGAATTTACTAGGCTTATTTTTGACATTATGGATGAAAGAGCAGAAGATGATAATCTTCCAGGTCTTTTACTTCTATTAGACTTTGAGAAAGCTTTTGATACTCTTGAATGGTCATTTATTGACTTGGCTCTGTCTTTTTTAGGATTTGGTCCTATTTTTTGTAAATGGGTCAAGACCTTATATTCAGAATATTAGAGCTGTATAATAAACAATGGACACTGTGATACTTTATCTCCTTATCTCTTTATATTATCTTTAGAACTTATGAGCGCTGCACTTAAAAACAACCAAGAGATAAATGGTATGAAAATAAATGATTCAGAATATCTACTAAGCCAGTATGCAGAGGACTCATGTCTTTTATTAGATGAGAATGAGCAATCTGTAGAAAAATGTTTATATACTGTAGAAAAATTCTCTGAGTGTGCTGGACTTTTTGATAATTTTGATAAAACTGAAGCCATATGGATTGGTTCAAATATTCACTCGAGGGATAAACTAACAACTACATGAAACTTGAACTGGAATTATTCAGGAAAATTTAAACTTTTAGGAATAAAATTTGATCTGTTCAGTGAAAATAAAACGCTTGTAAATTTTGTGGAAAAAATAAAAAAAAATACAGAGCTTACTTAATTCCTGGGTATATAGAGATTTAACATATATGGGAAAGATTACTTTTATTAAATCATTAGCTCTACCTATTCTAATTCAGTCATTGACAGTTTTGCCAAACCCATCGGTTGATAGAATAAAAGAAATTCAAAATATTTTTTTTAGTTTCTTGTGATCAGGAAAACCAGATAAGATTAAAAGAAAAGTTATGATAGGGTTGTATGAAAAAGGAGGGTTGAAAATGCCAGATATAAAATCTTTTTGTTATTCACTAAAGATGACATGTATAAATAAACTTTTAGACCCCTTGAATATATCCCCATGGACAACACTGTTAATAGATCAATACAACAGATTTGGAGCAGACAAAATATGGTTGAAGACCCCTGATGGTATCTAAAAGACTTCTACAAATTTTAATAATTTTTGGAAAGACATTTTACTAAACTGGAATATCCTAAACACTGTCACTAATGACACTGCTGAAGGGATCATGAAACAATCCATATGACTAAACAAGAGTTTGACGATAAATAATAAAACTGATTTTTACCTGAGTTGGGTTGAATCAGGAGTTTTCTTTGTAGGTGATTTACTTGATGAGAACAGTGAATTTTTTATTTTAAAGGAATTCTGCAGAAAATATAATCTTAATATTAATTTCCTGTAATACCATTCTATACTTCATATGATTTCCTTAAAGCTTGGACAGATCTAATCACTGCTTCAGAGAAAATAATATGCATATCAAATGAAAAATTTGAATTTATTAAAAACAATAAAAAATCATGTCAATTCTTTTATAAAAAAATCTTGTCAAAGTATACAGAACGTCCTACAAAACAAAAAGACAAAATGTGTAAAAAAGAACTAAGCACTCATATAGAAAATTGGGATTTCATTTATAGTTTACCCTTTTGTTGCACTAAAAACCACAAATTTAGAATGTTCCAGTTAAAGATTTTGCATAGAACTCTCGCTACAAATGCATTATTGCAGAAATATGGGTTAAAAGAAACCAACTTATGTAGTTTCTGTAATGAAACTAAAGAAACTATAAGTCAGCTTTTCTGGGAATGTACTCTAGTTAGAAATTTATGGTTAGAAATTTCAGCACTTTTTCAACTTAAATATATTTTAACTTTAATATTTAATGCAAAAATTATTGTTCTTGGGTCAGAGTCTTGGGATGTTTCCCTAAACTTATTCACTATTCTGATCAAGTATTACATTTATATATGTCGCTTTAACACTTAATTACCGACTCTTACAGGTGCGATAGCTATGATTAAAAATTCCTACCAAATAGAAAATATATCTACCTCCTTTTACAGATCCCCTAAAGCAAGAGAGAGATTTGATAGTAAATGGGAATTGATTAAAAACTTAGTTTACATGTGAGGAGAGATCTTTCTTTTTTGCACTCACTTAAGGCTTTATTATAATTCATGTAGAATTAATAAGATGTTGATGCACATCACAACTGGACAGTGATTTGTGTGCATCATAAAATTGCTATCTATGATATTGTTATATATATATATTGATATACTTGATTTTGTTTGATTTTATTTGAATTGTCTCCCCTTGACTCTGGTTGTTTTTTACTGTTGTTATTTACTTTGTTATTCTGTCCAACATGTCCTGTCTGACCCTTATCTGTTAATGATCTCTAGTGGCCTCTCCTGGTGCCTCTCATGTTCGACATCATAGTATTGACAGTGATGCATGTGGTAAGAGAAGGAGGCTGATGCCATCATTAACTTTTTCAACATATTCATGTAATCTATTCCAGAGTGATAAAAGATGAGTATGATCTAGTAGATAATTATCATATATATATATACATAAAATTAGCATACCTAACTTTTTACCTTTAGACTGTTATTGAAAAATTTAATATTAATACTTGTATTATAAATTATTTATGTATCTATGTATCACAATGCTTGGAGTTTTTTCAGATAAAATAAAAATAAATTACAAAAAAAAACTACTCTTTAGAAGATTGTGGCCACTGATGAATGTGTTTATCTTGTAAAACTACTCTTTAGAACATTACGGCCACTGATGAATGTGTTTGTCATGTTAAACTACTCATTAGAAGAATATTGCCACCGATGAATGTGTTTTGTTATCGTTATACTACTCTTTAGAAGAATATTGCCACTGAAGAATGTGTTTTGTTTTCGTTATAGTACTCTTTAGAAGAATATTACCCCTGATGAATGTGTTTTGTTTTCGTTATAGTACTCTTTAGAAAAATATTGCCACTGATGAATGTGTTTTGTTTTCGTTATACTACTCTTTAGAAGAATATTGCCACTGAAGAATGTGTTTTGTTTTCGTTATACTACTCTTTAGAAGAATATTGCCACCGACGAATGTGTTTTGTTTTCGTTATACTACTCTTTAGAAGAATATTGTCACTGATGGATGTGTTTTGTTTTCGTTATACTACTCTTTAGAAGAATATTGCCACTGATGAATGTGTTTTGTGTGCGTTATAGTACTCTTTAGAAGAATATTGCCCCTGATGAATGTGTTTTGTTTTCGTTATGCTACTCTTTAGGAGAACATTGCCACTGACGAATGTTTTGTTTTCGTTATACTACTCTTTAGAAGAATATTGCCACTGAAGAATGTTTTGTTTTCGTTATACTACTCTTTAGAAGAATATTGTAACTGATGAAAGTGTTTTGTTTTCGTTATACTAACCTTTAAGAGATTATTGCCACAGAAGAATGTGTCTTGTTTTCGTTATACTACTCTTTAGAAGAATATTGCCACTGATGAATGTGTTTTGTTTTCGTTATACTACTCTTTAAGAGAATATTGCCACTGAAGAATGCGTCTTGCTTTCCTTATACTACTCTTTGTCACTGATAGATGCGTTTTGTTTTGTATTTTCGTTGTTGCAAGAGAAATGATTTTGCACTTGTTTCGAATTAATTATCAATACTTGTCAAAATTGTAGCCTCTAACAGACCCTCAAACTATTGTCGGGAAGTCAATTTTATTTGAATTCGGCATATACACTGTATGTACACGATACCAATAATAACACAAGCTCTGCTGCGGTCTTCAATCGAAACAGTTCTCGAAACTTACATGACTTAACACTACTTCCAGTATATGATTCTTTCATAGTTTGTTAATAAGGACATCCTTATTATCTTTTAACAAGGAAAATACTTTATTTATCTATTCATTTGTATAGCACACAACATAAAGGTTTTATGACTGACTAGAGAGAAGACAGGATTTAATTTTTTTTCATACAGGTCATGTCGAGTAGAATGTGCAATTTAACAGTTTCTGAGTGGAACGATGAAATAGTAAATAGCCTGATACCAAATATTTTCGTACTCTCAGTTTATATTGTAGCTGGAATATGTGGAAACGTCGTTGTACTAATGGTTTATGCAATACAAATGAGAGCGATATCCGACGAAAGATTTTTCATACCAGTTTTAGCTGTCTTTGACCTAATAGCAACATTGTATCTAGGATCGTTTTCCATTTATAGTTGCTTAAACCAAATCGTGTTTTCTAGTGACACGCTTTGCAAGACCACATCGTTCTTTTTTGGACTAGCAACGTTTGTTCCGATCTTTATATTACTTATCATTGCAGTTCAACGATATCTTAAAGTGTGTGTTCCTAGAAAAGGATCAATGTCTCTTTTGTTGAAACGAGTCTTGGTGTTACTTGCAATATTTATTTCACTTTTGATAACCTTACCGATACCTTTTGTATACGAAGTGAAACCGGTTTATAATACTATTTATGATATTATTGGAAGGAAATGTGCGAAGTCTAAAACAAGCAATTCACTAGCAAGAAATATATACGGAATTGTGGTTGGCATGTTTGCTCTTGTTGTAACTATAACACTCATTGTATTATACTCTAGAATTGCATACACAATTTTCCATAACTTGAATATGAATAAAGATTTAAACTCAGAAACAGAAAATAAAATCTGCGAAACATCTATTTCCCTGCAAGATGGAGAAATTACAAAACCTGCAACCGTTCCCGTAGTTCATTCTTATTATGATGAACACGCGCATGCAAACATTTCTTCGGCAACCACTTCGAAAAAAAGTGGATCCAAACAACTCAGGAAAAATAATCGTCGACTTACATTTAAATTAACAACCATGTTTCTCGTCATAACGTTGGTATTTTTATTTAGTTACACACCAATAGTAGTACTGCTAATAACTGAAGGAGTGTCCGAAAATTTGTGGGACAATCTGTCAACCTCACAAAGATCTGGAGTGATGTTTGCACACGACCTTTATATCATTAATAACATTGTGAACCCGTTCATCTACGCTTTTATGGACACTAAGTTTCGTAGCGAAACGATGAACTTTTTAAGTCGCGTATTTAGACCTTGCAAACTGTAGATCTAATTATAAATGTGGTGTCATCTGACATTTGATGCAGGAGATATGTTTTATTGACTTATCATACTTTTTCGTTTATTACTGTTTATTATACTTTTTTTCGTTTATTGTTTTGTACATATATCAGGCAGTTAGATTTCTCGTTTGAATTGTTTTACATTTGTAATATTAGGGTCTTTTATAGCTTACTATGCGGTATGGGTTTTGCTCCTTGTTGAAGGCCGTACGGTGACCTTTAGTTGTTTATCTCTATGTCATTTGGTCGCGTGTAGAGAGTTGTCTCATCTTCTTGTTTGTATATATACTTGTATAACGTGCAATCAATCCAAATTTACCTTTTGCTTTTAGTATCTGAGAAACATATTTAGGTCATTTAAACTGAACATTGACCAATGAATCATAAAAATAGGGTGAAGGTCAGATGAACCCTGCCAGACAGATATGTACACCTTTCAATCATTCCATGCACAAGATGTAGTTTACAAAATCTATTTAAGTATCTCAAAAACAGACCATACCACAAAAATTCAACATTGACCAATAACGTTGAAAATGAGGTCAAGGCCAGATGAACCCTTACAAATAGACATGTACACCTTATAATCCTTTCATACATCAAACATAACTACAACAGGAGTAGCAGGTTGAAATTTCTCGCCTTTACTTATTATGATTGAATTTATGCTCAAAGTTTTCAAGAAAAAAGTTCTGGTACACGAATCACATTAACCTAACATTATCAATGATCCATGTAAATGACGTCAAGGTCAGTTGAAATCTGTCAGACAGGCATGTTAACCTGACAATCCTTCCATGTGCCAAATATAGTTAACCTATTCCTTTTAGTATCTGAGAAACAGTCGCTGAGCTATGGAAATGAGGTCAAAGACAATGGACATATGGCAGACTGACGCTTTGTAACCCAAGACATCTTTATTCAAGGTTTGAATCATCCAGGTCTTATACCTTCTGAAATATAAATCTTTATACAAAAAGTTTACATTACACAGCTTTTGCTCTTGATTAGCATCCCTATTTCTCACATTCTGTGAATTTTGTAACAGGCAAGACAAAATCTAAACATTGAACGATGAAAATGAAGACAAGGTAAGATGACAGCTGCCAGGCAGACATGTACACCTTACAATCATTCCATACATCAAATATAGTTACCTACAGCTAATAGTATCTGAGATACACACCTAATCACAATCAAAGCCTTAAAGGCTGTTAAAGCAATTGCTGCCTAGTTAATATTTTTTTCATGACTTTTATTTTTAATCCACATGTAAAAGAAATAAACCGGAAAGGAGTTTTGTCTAGTGAGAAGTAAGGATGTTTTAACTTTATATCAATAAAAGACTTGTCCAGCAGAAAGTCATTTTTACAATGTTTTACATTTCCCAGGGGGATGACACGTTTACCCAGCTTACGGTGGAGGCAAATATATGTGCAGAAACGTATCACTCCCGAAGAAATCATAATAGATTATCCCCTTGTAGAGTGTTTATCACTGGGCAATAATTTACATGACAATCCATGCAAATTTCGTAACGCGAATGTTCTACCGAACTATAGTTTTTTATCATAAGAATCATTCATTCATACATACCGATTAAAGAGTTTGAAGATGGGACCATGGGCTACTGAAATTTTCATGAAATGCATGTTAACTGTCGATTAACCTGGGAACTGGCTTACCCTTTACCCCTTTCATCACTAAGGCCAGGTTTTTTTTAATTTGTTGGTTTACGGATTTTTCACACAAAAGGGTCCGGTCGGTCGGGAAAAAAAAATTTAAAAAAATCTTACAAGACATAAATATGTAAAAAAATAAATATATATTTCAGCTTACTAACTATATTTTTGGTGTGCTACTTTGTCATCATGTTTTAAATATCAGTCCTTCTAAAATAACTATTTCAAGTGGCTAGTTCATTTCATTGATACGTTATACTTCCTCAGTTTTATTTATGCACATCTGATGGACGACTTCTTCGTGTTCTCATACTAGACAGAGTTTATAGATAAAATGTTCAGAGACAAATATAAAAAGCATCTCACCACGTTCTTTAATTCCACTTTAAAAAAATGGTTAATGATGTCCTGTCACTCAATAACACACAGTGTTGCTCAGTCTTTAGTTTTCTATGTTGTGTTTTGTATACTGTTTTCTTTTTAGCCATGGCGTTGTCAGTTTATTTTCGACTTGTGAGTTTGAATGTCTCTTTGGTATCCATCACCTCTCTTTTACAGTGAATGCTTGTATTTCATTTACCGAATGATAATTTGCATGGCGGGTGATCTATGCAGAGGAGGAGACGCTAAGGTTGTTGACTCACCCGGTCTCGCTTCTTTTTTGAGTTCTTCATGCGATTCCATCTGTGTTTGTTTGCTACCTTGTTGTCCCTTCCTAATCCATTTTTTAAGATTTGACAATAGATAAACTACTGTCGCCTTAATTTATCCACGTGCACTTCAAATTAAGGATACTTTTAGAGACAAGCAGGAGTGTTTCCTATCTGTATCTTCTTGTTATAAACACAGATGGACGACTTTATGACAAATATGGTGAATTCAAATTTCCAATTTCTAGGCAGCAACATACCTACTGTCCCTTCGAATGGCGTTTCTTTCTTAGAAAGAATGACAAGAAGCTAGCCTTATCCTTTTTCATTTTTTTGCTGTAAAGTTGACACCTCTCACTAACTTATTCAAAGTTTGGTGACTATGTGGAACGCATTTATCCCATCGAACTTGAAATAGAGGATACAAAAGATGCAGTAAAGTCTGCCGCATATCTTGACTGACATCAATTGACAGACCATGAGGGTCGTTTGCGAACAAAACTTTACGAAAAAAAGGGGTGATTTCAGCTTTCCAACTGTGAACTTTCTATTTCTATTTAGCATACATCTCCAAGTTGATACTATATTCTGGAGCTTGCGTTTTCTATCATGATTGTCTTCATAAAGGGTTACTGTTTGCAACGTTGTTGAACCAAGAATTCCTAGTGGTAAAGTTGAAGTCATTATTTCGAAAGGGTTGATGGACGTCATACGAGCTAGTTAACCGGTTTGGAATATATGTGTCACAGATGACCACGTCTATGTTTCGATTGTCGTTACATAATTTTCGTCCTTTTTTCATCAATTTTGACTTCACCAACTGTGACTCATCATAGAATGTGTGCTTACCACGAGTAACACGACGGTGCCACTAGTGGGCAGATACTGTTTACCCTTTCGGAGCACATGATCCCCGCGTTCTTTTGGTTGGACTCGTGTTGCTGAGTCTTTAGTTTTATAAACTTGGAAACATGATTGTTTAATTAGTTGTCATTTGTTTGGAACTAGCTTTCAGTAACTGCGAGTACTCTGAGATCCGTACCTTATATCTTAAATGATTGTTAGTTGTTTTGTGCTTTGCATCGATCTGATGAGTCAAGCCATTTTCAACTGATTTTTATAATTTGTTCTTATGTTGTGCTGTTACACCACTGTCCAAAGTGAGGGGAGGACTGGGCGCCCGCAAAAATATTTAACTCCGCCACATTCTGTATGTGCATGTCCCAAGTAATAAGAAGCTTGTTAATTTCTGGTTGTCGCTTTTGCTGATTATCAAATTTATTTTGCGTTTGTTGTTTTGTAAAAAATCAGGCCGTTGTTTTTCTCGCTAAACTTTGAATTATTTTACGTTTTGTTATGTCGGGATCTTTTATAGCTTGCTATTCGGTATTTGTTTTGCTCATTGTTGAAGGCGGCATTGAAAGCAATAGTTGCTAATATCGACGTCATTTGGTCTCTGGTGGATAGTTGGTCTCATTGGCAATCATACCACTTCTCCTTATTTATTGGGTTTTTTTTCTTTTCGTCGACTTTCATTTTTTGTATCTTCCCCCTCTTTTAAACATCTCAGTTGATGCGTTACTCGAGTGCATATTCCCATAATACGAACTTCATTAAAAGGATTGTGCACTTGCAGAAAAAAATGCTTCAGCACGGCTATGAGGATAAACGACTGAGTTCGGCACTACACACTTTTTGCGGTTACCGTCACAAACTGACTGAAAATATATAGTAGTGTATCGACCCTCAAGATACATTCGCGGTTTTAGTGTATAAGTCACCAGAAAAGTCGTCTAATAGGTTCATTTAAGGATTGGGTCCTTTTCCCTATTGAGACATATTAACAGTGTAGATTCGCATGACGACATTAAGGAGTAAGAGCACAGACTGGTTGGCTCGGAGTCAGATTAATATGTCCGGGTAAGGTGATATGACTTCCTATGGGCAGTTACCTTGTGAACTAGCACGTTAAAAATCCGGCTCAGCGTGTCAGTCTTGAAAAAAAGCAGGGTTTATATTCATATTACATTGACATGTTCTCGTCCTGAATATGCATATTAATTTGCCACTGGACGTTAAGCCACCACCACCACCACCATCATCATCATCATCATGACGGGCTTATGCATGCATATCATGACACCCTTACCCTATCGACCCACTCGGTATCGATCCGTTTGGAGTTCATGCAATTCTGCTGTTGCCTCTAATTTAAACTGTATTCGAGAAGTTCAAAATACTCAATCTTCACAGAAATAAATTCGATATATATAACTGAAGTTTGATAAGAAAGATGTATTATCCTAATTGAGGAAATATTGTTTTTATATAATGTTCATGTGTCCGAAGTGCTTTTCTGGAATAATCTTCATTAGGAACGCTCAAACCCGAACATTTGAAACCCAAAGATGTATAAGAACCGAAACAGTTGAAGAGCTATATGCCAGAACAGGGCCTAAAAATAATAACAAAATCTATCTAAGGTCAACTTTGCCTGATGGAGTTGAAACTTGGTTTCTTAATAATTTCCAAATTTGTAAGCGGACAATTTAAGAAAGGTTTGTAATAAATGATGTCAGTACCGAAGTATTGACTACTGATCTGATGATACCATCGGGGAATATAGTTTATCAGCAACGGTAACGACCTGGTGCTGTACAAAAAATGAAAACAACAATCTATAAACCCATCTTACTTTGGTATTCTATACACTGAGGATACAACCCGCCTAGTAGCCAATGTATCGTTCTTATCATG